AAACCATTCCCTGATTCTATGAAAGAGGGGAAAAATGAAAAGGAAGCACCATGGAAGAGATTAACAGATACATTGCTGGGGCTGCAGAAGGGAGATTTACAGCGGAGATTGCTTCGCAAACTGGGTTTGTCTGTGTTTCGGGGCTGGCAGCCCCGCTCTGACACACCTCCGGGCTAAGACCCCCACGGTGAAGGGCTGCAGGGGTTAGAGGACACACAGCCGCACTCGGAAGCACGTTGCATTTTTCAATACAAGGGAAAGAATTTCCCCCTAATGGCTGCAAAACCCTCCATCTGAATGTACATCCAGGCTGTGGGTAAATGATGCCTCGTTAATTATTCATTATGTATTAATTACGAAGCCCGATAATAACAGGATCATTGTTCATGACACCCAATGTCTACACAGCATGCTAATTAGGGCCCAGGGGTTGTCTTCTCCCTCCCTCTTATCCGCACTCTGGGCAGCTGCTCTGAGCACGCTTATCTCCCCTCTGCTCCTGGCCGAGCACTCCGCGACTGGGAAGCGGCTTCTCCTCAGCGCCGGCCTCCCCGGGAGAAGGCAAACCACGCGTCCGCCCTCCCTCGCACAGCGACAGGCGCGGGCAGCATGGTCGCAGCGGCGCCGGAGCCGACTCCGCGGGAAGAGTTCTGTGAAAGACCAAGAGCTTCTCCGGGAGAGGGGAAGCGCGAGGCTGGGCTGGGCGCTGGGGCGCGCGCTTTCCGCTCCCGAGAACTCACAACACACGGAAAGATGAACCTGTCTATTACTGATCAATGGCCCGACGTCTGTCTCGGAGAGCACCGAGGTCTGGAAAGGGTTCCAGCCTGTGCCACGTCCAGAAGGATCAGGTCCCAAACGTTACGTGAGACCAGGACACTCCGGCATCAGCCTGTCGGAGATTCCCCTCCCGCCGCAGGGCATGGGAAAGCTTTCTCTAAACGTGCCGGGGAAGACTCTCTGCCCTTCACAGAGGTCAGCAGCTCCCTGGCTTAGCTCCGAATCGCAGGCGAAGCGCCAGGCACGGCTCCGGAGGCCCCG